TCATTTCTCTGTATTGGTGTTACTGATGCCCAGTACATTAATGGTAGATGAATAAGGAAAATATAGATATAGTTGAAAAATATGATACTTATTATATTAAAACTGTTCTGGTAAATATTTTAAACTATTGGATAATACTGTTAAGTGATAAATGGTGATTGAGTTTACTTAATAGCTGGATCTGTTCCAATCCAGGATATCGCTGTATATAGTTTAATGCCTCCAAATCTGTATCTGAGGTACACAGAATAAAATAGTTTCCTATTTCAGGCTTTATTTATAAAGGCTCTACATTTAAATACAATTCTAGTTTTCTCTCAAGATGCTTTTTCCTTCTGCTTTAATAACTTTGTAATTCTGTTGACTTTTCATTCTAATACCATTAGTCACATATCCAGCTTTTCTTTACAGACTCTTCCTTTTAGGTCTTGGAGTTCTCCACTGTTCTTCTTAGGTATTCTGTCCATGAGATCAGTTTAATGCTGTTGACTCTTTCATCTCACTTTCCATCTTAGGGAAGCAAAATCTAGTATTTACACAGCCCATTCATGTACCATGACAATTGTTTGATATTTGGAGAATCTATAAGGTGCAGCAGTGAGAAAGAAAGAGATCTTATGGGATGGACAAGAAGAACAGAATTTTCTGGGAGATGCAGCAAGATAAAGTGACAACCTGAAGATTGAGGCAGTTTTGAGAAATTACCTCAAGTTTTCTGAAGTAGGCAAAAGCATAGAGATGGTGACAGCAGCAGGGCAGAAACAAGGATTGGAGATCTTGAAAAGAAGTCCATGACCATATTAATCCTGAGTCAGTGGATAAATTCAGGATGATTCACATTCCATGTTGGACCTCAGGTGCTGATTCAGCTCATTAGAAATTGCAGTGGGTATGTGAAATGCAAACTGCACGCCCTGCACCACTGGCAGGGAACTTCATGGATGGTGCCAGGATGGGGAGAGATTCGGTGCCCTTTCTCTGCCCAGCAGGGAAGTGCTGGGGATTGAGGTGGGGTGCCTGAAGGGCTGAGAGCACGTCATGCCCCTCAGTTGCTGGCACACCAGATGAATTAAAAACCAGAGCTTGGGCCTTGTAGCTTTTCTCTTCCCAGTTTTGGAATAGTCAGATGTCTCCCAGCTGGAGAAGGGAAAGCAGGAATGATGGATACAGTGGGTTCGGGGAGTTAAGAGAGAATGAAGTGGTAGGAAGAAGGGTGACTGTGGCCCAGGGTTGCTAAAGTCAGATTATTACTGTTAGCAGAACTGTTTTGAAAGGAATGAGCAGGTCATTAATGTAACTGATATTTCTAAGTAGGTTGCCAGTTTTGTTTGAGTGCTAAATGTAGCCAGGAAGGTTATAGAAATACAGGTAGAAATGTGGAGTCTTAACAATGTCAGGTCAAGAATTAAGTTCTAGGAGAAGTCTGTCTGGACATTTCTGGAGAAGGCTGGCAGGGAGAGCCTGAAGGATGTAATTGAATAGTGCTTGTAGAAAATTATGAAGAAATCTAAGAGCGTAGTTGTGCAAAAGCCAGGTTTGGAAGCAAGTTGCTGAGTTCTGTGAGCAGAAACTCTTGAAGTCTGCAGACACAGAAAGGATGAGGTGGATTATAGACCATGAGCGTTGACCAAAGAAAACATAGGAACATCAGGATAATTTTATCCTGGAGTCAGTAAAGAAATTACTTGGATACAAGAGTCAATCCATGGAATTTGAGAGTCTTTGGCTTGCACTGGTTTGTTTCTGACCAGACTGTTATGGCCACAGATCAGGCCTAGAGTTGAGTATTGTGTTTGACCCATCTTGCTTCTCCTCTTCTCCTCCTTCTGTGTATTCAACCCAAAGTCAAGATCTATTGCTCTGACACCTGCTAGATGTTCTCTTGCTTTATGCAGCTTCTAGAAACAAAGAAACTCTCAAGATGTGAATTTGTGGGTTTTGGGGTTTTTAAAATTTAATATAGTAATATATTAATATAATCTCTTAGAGTTATTCCTGTTTTTCCTGGTTTCCTGTGACATACCCTCTCAAGGATTAATCAAATCAGGTTGTTCATTCCTGGTGTTAATGGTAAATGATGATGTGTACTCAAGTCCTTGTTCAGTAAATAAACTTATTTTTATAGTAAATTACTGTGCTGGGCTGTGTCATTTTTGTCAGGACACTTGTTTCAGCCCTTGGCCTGCAGTAGCTGCTGAGGCAGCTGTTTGGCTGTGTCTGGGGCTGCAGAATTCCTGCTCCATTCTGAGTCTGTTTTCCTTCTGCAGTGGCCTCACAGGGTGCTCTGCTGTGTCCAGGGAGCAGGACTGCAGGACATTTTTCCTGGTGCTGAAACAGCCTCTCATTTTAGCACCTCAAATGCAGCCTCACTGCTGCATTTATTTCTCCTGAAATGTATTTGGGATGTGTGGCTATGTCTGAGTTCCTGATGTTTAAATACCCACCAAAAGGTTCTGTATAGGTTACACAATTCACAGCCTGATCATTCTGTAACCGGCATGGTCTAACCACACCATTCTGTTTGACTGCTAGACTGAGACACGGAGCTTGTCATGCTACTGCATAGTCATGATATAGTGCAATATTCATGATACAGTACAATATTCTCTGCAGGGAAAATAAAAAACCAACAAAAACAGATTTTTAAAATCTGATGCCATTCTGGGGCAAGGGCATGGTTTTAATGGGTTCTGACTGGTACTATGTAAACATGTTACAGAGAGGCTGGAGGTACTTTGTGTATGCTTCAGTCTGCTGTTCCCTAGAGCATCCTCACCAAAATACAAAATATCTCTTTGGAGTTCAGTTCTGTGTTTGGGAAGGGGAGGAAGCTGTTTCTCAAAGTCTTCCTTTTTGCATTCTCTGTTAGATTTTAAGGTTTCTACGCTCATTTTTGCCTTCAGACCTTTCTGATTAAAATAACCTAAAAAACATCTGTAGGGAGGTGGCTTTCTGTAGCCAGTGGGAAAAATAAGCAGAACTTTAACTTACACAAAATCTATTTGTACATGATTCTGATGAACATAATGGTTACTGTCAGTTTATTTCACATCTTAGGATCTTTCTATCATAGAATGAATAGGAGTTAAGGTAAATGCCTGTGAAACACAAGAGTTGTCTTACTTTTGGATGACAGATAGTTTGATCACTTATTTGGAAACAGAAATATTTGTGTTTGATGTAAAAACCAGCCTAGGCAGCTGATGGAGTTGATTATTTTCAATAACAAGCAAGAATAGTTGTTTGTCAGTGTGATCACACAGCTGTGCTTGGCTTTGGGCTTCTTTGTGTGGCACTGATTATTTGTGTTAGTAATATTTCCTTATATGCATAGTAGGAGATTATTAATAGAAAAGATCCACTTGAAAGTCCTAAGAGAACAGTTTATCTTTTCTAAAGTGGAGTTTATTGGCAGGACTGAGGCTCTTGAACCAGGGAAGACATAACTGACTCAATTCAGTCATACTATTAAACAAAGTTGTGATTAAATATGACTATTGAGGTATGTTCCAAGATTTTTCTGAAAATGCTACGAGCTTTGTGTTTCTGTGAGTTGAAAAATGAAATGATAATAGCTTTAGATGACATGGGTAGTTTCTACATGGACTTTAAAAGAGGAAAAAAAGGAAAGAACTGATTTTGAGAAAGATAGATGATGATAGCACTCCTGTATTCTGTAACTGTTCAGCTAAAACACTGTATGGTGTTTATGTTCTAGCTTCTCCAAGTAACAGCTGATCATTGTCTCAGTGACATGTGATACCTGAAAGTTGTGGAGACTAAATTAAAGTTCAGTTGGTGTTAATAGCTTTTCTTTTTTTGGTTCAATATGTGCATTTTTTTTGCTTATTTTTTTTTTCCTACAGTTCTGTATGTTTTTGTTTAAATATTTTATAATTTCTAGCAGTAAAGTTTTGGGAGGGTGTTGTTTTCATTATTGTGCCTTAAGTGTTTTATCCTTCTCTTTTAGCAGGATGGGAATATTTATATTAATCATTGTTTCCAGATATGCTGAAAAATTTTCCACTGATGAAGGGGGTGTTAGTGTTTATTCACAGGATTGATTTTAACATACAGAGTTAAAAAGTGACTGGTGAGAATGCTTGGAAAATTTGACCAAAGTATTCAGAAATGGTCATTCTTGCAATGACTGCCAGAAAAAAAATCAATGTGTTCTGAGTGTTCCTTGACTTCAGTTTAGCTGTTCAGCAAAATGAATTCACCTTCCACTAAATTTGGTAGCTAATCCAGGGATTAAAGCAGTTTGTGAATACTTACAGGTACTCAGTTGTTTCTGAACAGTAATATTAAATAAGTTTTCTTCCTGCGATACCTCAATTGTTTTCTTCCTTTTCCCATCCCCATCAGACTAAAGGTCTTTGTTTTTCTTCATAGATTGAAATGCTAAGGAAGAAAGTAAAAGAAAAGGAATTATTTATAATACAGCTTTTAGACAAAATCTCTTTCTTAGAATGTGAGGTAAGGCATTACATTTTTAGTTTACATTATTGTGATTATTTTATGAAACTAAATTAAATTTGAACCAATGTGCTAACTGGACGTATAATTACTATATATATTTGCTGTTCTTCAAATGGATGTTAAACATATGACACCAGTCATACAGTCAGGAGTGTGTGTAATAAAGTCTCAATATTCAGTCTAAGTTTCTTACCTTACAATTTTCTAATACTTTTATAATGACTTAGACCAGAAGCTTTTGAATAAAACTGTTGGTTTAATTTATATCCTTTCCAGGATTAAGGATTCCTTTATTATATAAATAAATACTTTTACACTGTTTCTTGTAGGAAGAGGGCAATGTACAATTTTATTTCCTTGTTTAATTACCATAAATAAAATAAACTTGTGATGAAAATTACTGTTTCCCAGAATAAAGAATTACAAGATAAACTGGACTACTTAATGGAAAACCAACAAAAGACCAATATAGAAACCAGAGATACTGGTGTAGAATGTGATCTTCCATACAGGTATTTACTTTTTCTGCTTGTTTGTAGCAAAATTCTTCATAATGTGCCTTATCAGTGCTGTATTAGTAAACCATTTTGCTGATGAACTGTTTTGAATGGACCGTGGAGTTTAAAAGAGCACTTCACTCCTAGGTACAGTTTATGTCAGTGATTTCTGGTTTAGCATTTATTTTTTTCTTAAAGATGCAAATATACTGCAAACTCCTGGGGAGTAGTTATTGCCAATCATGCAATTTAAGTGGAGAAGTCAGAGAGGGGACTGTGAGATGTGGCAAGTTCTGGTGCAGAGTGGCTGCTGGCAGTGCTGCAGACACAGGACAGCTCTGCCCAAGGCTGCTCAGCACTGGCTTCGGGCACACTTCACCCTCCGTGCCTGGAGATGTGACCGGGACCGCTGGGAGAGCAGGGAACACTGACAGGGGAGGGCTGCAGCAGTTCTGGAGATCTCCTGGCCCAGGGGGAGGATTGCCACGTGAACAGTGCCATGCTATTGCCACGTCTGCACTGGAATGCTGTTGCTGCTCGTGGTGCCAGTGGCTCTGCAGCCTGGCTTTGGGAAGCTCAGGTGTGGTACCAGTGGCTCTGCAGCCTGGCTTTGGGAAGCTCAGGTGTGGTACCAGTGGTTCTGCAGCCTGGCTTTGGGAAGCTCAGGTGTGGTGCCAGTGGCTCTGCAGCCTGGCTTTGGGAAGCTCAGGTGTGGTACCAGTGGTTCTGCAGCCTGGCTTTGGGAAGCTCATGTGTGGTACCAGTGGCTCTGCAGCCTGGCTTTGGGAAGCTCATGTGTGGTGCCAGTGGCTCTGCAGCCTGGCTTTGGGAAGCTCAGGTGTGGTACCAGTGGCTCTGCAGCCTGGCTTTGGGAAGCTCAGGTGTAGTGCCTCCCCTTCTCCCCTGCACTGCCCTGAGCCTGCAGCAGGGCACTGAGCCCTGGGAGAAGGGCTCTGCACTTGCACTTCAGTATTCCCCACAAGGCCCCACAGGGAAGGGCAAAACAGGAAACAAACCAGTAAAATAAGGAGGACCACTTCACATTACTTTTATTACCAACAAGTATACTTGTTCATTGTAACCACTCTGCAAATTGAATTGTTTAGTTTGAGGAATGTAAATTAGCATATGAAATCAGCAAGCAAACAAAAATTTCCTTAATAACTTAAAAATACACTCATTTTGGAGTTCAGCCTAGAGCATATTTTAATGGCACGTGTTTTGGAACCTTAAATACACTGTTTTTTCACTCAGGTTGTCAACAGAAACCTATCTTTATTGCCCTCTCTCAGGCCCCTCCATATGTAAGCACAGCCCCTACTTATCTGATATTTTTCCTCTTTTTGGGATTTATCTCTAAGAAGTAATGCACCTCTGTGCTGTTTAGATTTCATGAAATTATTCTTAATGATTAATTGTGTTCTTAAATGCAATATCACTATTTTTTTTTTTTTGCAGGACTCTTAATCCTAACTTTACTGCTGGGCTTAATTGCTGCTAGCACTGTGAGCACCAGCAAATGCTGGCCTGTAAACTTGTCAGTATTTGCCATGGTTTTTATCAAATGTTCTTTGTGAAAAGAAATATAGAGCATACCAAATGCACTGATAAGTTGAATTTTAGCCTGTCAATGTCAATGCCATGGCATTACGAGCCCAGCTGTGTGATACTCTGACCTTTACACTGAAGCTTTCTCTTGTCTCCTGAACAGCACGAGCTCTGAGAACAGAGCTCCTGAGAGTCCGAGGCTGGTGAGGACGTACACCCCGTTCAAGAGAGTGCTGGAATTTAGCACAAGGAGCAGCACATCCTGAGAACTCATCGAGCTTTCTGAACACAAGCAGATAGCTTGCGCCTTTGCAGCTTGGTTAGATAAGTTTTTAATCAGTTTAGAGGAGAGCAGCAGCATGGAGTCTTGCTAAATTTATTCTGAAAGCAGCTCTGTAGTAACTTTATACCTGAAGTTACTTCTGATGTTAACTGTGGGGTAATGGGGAAGCAGCAGGCTGAGTGAAGCAGCAGTCGGGCAATATTGCTTCTTTAGAAGCTGTCTAGTGCAATGTGTCATTTCAAATGCCTGTGAGGACTTGTATAGCTGTACAGTTGTGGTTTTTCTTCAATTGTGTTGTAATTCTGTTTGAGTAATGAAGCTCTAATATATTCTGTTGTCAGTACTACTGGAGCAGTACGTGAAGCTGTGCTGGCAGAGGGAATTTGTGTGGAAGCTCTGAATCTGCCCAAACTGAGGGTGGCTCACACCTGTCCCAGAGACCTGCTACAGCTGAGGGCTCTCTTCACCTGGGAGCAGCTCTTTTGTACCCAGCACTCCTTGTCTGGGAGGGAGACATGAACTGAGCTCTTTAAAACAATTCCCTCAAAGCATGGCAGGTGAATATTGTGTTTGCTGCTCAAAACAGTAAGGGATAGAGCGGATTATAATGGAATTTGCTTTGTTGGACTGAAGCACTGGTTTGCACTTCCTCGGTCATGGGACAGAGTGACCATGAGTGACACATTCAGTAGCAATTGTGTAGGAAAATCCCTGATGCTTTATTTATTTACTTTTACATTTGAGGAAGGAGTTTTCATTAAACAAAAGTTTGCCTACTGCAACCTGCAGCAGTCCTTGCAATTCCAACGGCAATAGCAATCCTGAATCAGGATTTGGGGTTTTGAGTACTATTTTTTTTTGTCCAGATCACTTAAAATCTTATCTTTGGCTTCCAAGTAGCAGCAGGAGTGACTGTATCTAGTACTGAACTAATTTAAATATATATAGGGTATATTTACATCTTGTTTTGATCTTCCACTCTTAGTGAGTTTAAAATGAAGTAGAAATATATTACTTTAATTCTGTTAACATGAATGAAGGACCTTTTTTTTTTTTCTAATTACAGTACCTGCAGCAGAAAACAAACAACTTAGGTTCCATATGATTAATATTGTTCTTGCATGCAGTGTCAATCCCAGGAGGTGCTCACCTTGCCACAGAGCTTCACAAAGGGATTGCTTTTATCTCCAGCCTAATGCAATTCAGTCCTGTCTATTCAAATCAAGTACACTTACTAAAGTTGTATTTAAAATAATAATGTTGAATACACAAGAAGATGAGTAGTAACTCTGTTTCAGGGATAAGCTTTGTACCTGTGAAATCTTATCTCCATCTAGTGGATGATAACAGCAAATATTTGGACAGTATCTGTTTCTGAAGAGGAAGACACTAAAAACTAATCCCAACAGGTATATTAATGTCCATTAGGGATACAAATTTAGGTCTTATAGAATATATTTTAGCATTTCTGTGCCCAAACAGTCCCTCTGTAATTCAGGACTTGAATTCTGAACCATGGTTTGTGAAAGTTACTTTCAAAATTAAGATGAATGGATAAAGGTGGTAGTTTTAGATAAAAGGAAATGCATCTTGTTGTAAAAGACATTAACTGACAAGTTTAAAAAAGTGAAAATCCTTTACCCCTCTGATTTTGGCCAGAAGTCAGAAAATAACCTGATGACTGTGAGGTGCTCAAGAAATAGTAGTAGAGGGCAGGGTAAGTGTCAAAATGCTGTTTTGACACAGACTCAAAGGAAGTTCATTCTACTTTTAATGCACTCCTGAAGATCTGAAAATGCTGCAAGCTGTTTGAACTCTGAGACTTGCAACATTATGATAATCTGCTCAAGACTTTTAGAGGAATGCAGCAAGGCCTTAAGTTTTTACTGTAAAGGTGTTCTGTGTAAACTTTGTCTTGACTGTTTGATGAAATACAGTATTTTTTTCTAAACCAAATAAGAACTGATATCAAAGCTGTATTTTAAGAGCATTTTGACATGCAGTGAGCTGGATGACTGTCACTTGATTGGACTACTGGTCTAAACTTGGTAAATGTGAAGAACAGGAGAGGAACTGTAGATATATCATTGTGTTACATGAAAATGTAGAGCTTTCCAGTCAAATGAGCAGTAATGTAAATTAGCATAGATAATAACAAACCTGACTGAAAAGACTGTAACACTTCTGTATAAATTTTCTCAATTTGAGACCAATTTAATTAGTACTATCACATTAGAAACTAGTAAAATTTCTGTAAACAGCAATAAAAGCCATATAGGAAGGTCCCAGAAAATACACTAAATGTAAGTCAATTGTATGACTACATTTGTACCATGATAAGTATTCTTTTGTGATTTATTCCAGATACTCTGGAAAGTATTTTGGGATACACTTTTCATATATGCTGTACAAATAATGTATTACATTGTATGCATTTAATACATCCAGTATGTAGGACATGAAGAGGATAAATTGCAATAAACACTGTATTTAAACTTGTTCTGTTGTGTCAACAGTCTTTTAGAAATAAACCTACCTTAAAACGTTGCAGACTCTTACTGTTCACAACCTTGTTTGTTCCAAACACGTGGGAATGGAAAGTGGCTCCTGCGGAGCCTCGATGTTCTCCTCAGTGTTTCCTTTGGCACACGGGCTCCTGAGAACAGGAAGGCACTCTCTGGCTAAAGACTCTCAAAGCCAAGTCACAAAAGTAGATGAACTCTTTCATGAAATAAAAAACTATTGACTTGCACAGGATAAACAAAAACTGGGCAGCACAGCTCTTGGAAAAAACCCAACAGCTTCAGATCCTCCAGATAACATCTGAATCCATCTGGGATGATGCTCTCCAGGCTTCAGCAGGATGAGACTGAATGCTTGAGGCCCATCTTTATTTACAGTTTATATCCACTTACTACTAATAGAGATTTATTTTTAAGACTATAAAACTAAAGCAATCTACATGTCAGCTAAAGAAGAGGTTGTGCAAACAATCACAATCACAGTGTCAATCACAGTGACAATCACAGTGTCACAGGTTTGTAATGCTCAGAGGAAGAATGTCAAGTTTTTAACTCAAATAATGCTTCCCTATTTATGTGTATTCAGCTCAGATTGCCAACAAGCCCTGATAAAATCTTGTTGAGATCTGCAGTGCTTGGTGCTGAACCTACAGCGTGGAATTCTGGGTGTTGGATACGGATGTTTTTCAGAGAGCTTTAAATATTTGGCATCTGAAAACTTCTGCATATGGACCGATGAGAAGTAAGTTCTCTGTGCATGAAGTCTAATTCTGCACAGGAAATCCCCGCTCCACAGAATGGAGATGTACATGCTGAGAGTTTAATTCCATTCACATTTTACTTCATTCTTGTTCAGCCCCTGGGGCTATTTGCATGTGTAAAAGAAGAAAAGTGCATGAGAGACCTGAGTTAAGGCCCTTCCAGCCCTGCCTCGAGCACAACTTGGAAGGAACACAAGAAAAGAAGGACACAGGAGCCATTTACAACTCAAGGTATGTGAATATTTTCAAAAGAAAAAGGTACTTATTGATTTAAAGAGAAAATACATAGAAGTGAACATCTGTGAGGTTACAATATTCCGTAAAGGCATGTAGGCAATGCAATGATCAGATGGTTGCTTCCCAGTACATTGATAGGTATAAATACATATAGATTTGCTTTTAGAGTGTTTGGGACGTTTTTTTTTTTAAGGAAAATAAAATGAATTATTACAAAGGTGCATCATGCTGATAATAAATGATTTTTTTCCTAAATTAAATAAAAATTATTCAATTCCAAATACTCATACCATTATTCTTGTTATTTTGGAGGTGATTTACATTGTGTGTGTAGCTTTTTTCCTCTCCTCCTCAAAATTTCTGAGCAGAGAAATGGTAAAGGTAGTTCCTGCACCTCATTCCCCCCCAAAAAAACCCCTACAATCTAAATTTACTTTTGCTCCTCTTCCTAATAAAAGAAATAACATTTTATAAAGTTGAAGAAAGCAGAAAACAACTTTTCTTGTAGAAATAATACTAAATTATTAAATCTGTATTTCCTCCTTTCAAGTTTGTACTGAAGTTGATGCTGTCTCAGTTGCATGGTATCTAGATACTGCCCACCTATTCGTAACTGAGAATATTTGTTCCAGCACCTTCCAAGGTTCAGCTCCTTGTTCATCATTCTGGAGCTGTGGGTTACCTGTAAACAGACAATGTTATTCCAAAATGTAACACTCCCAAACTGTAAAGATGAACAATATTCCTTCCCAGTGAACTTGGACAAATACAGACTTAGTGAACAATATTCCAAGTGAGGTACGGAATGAGCAGCTGTGATTCCTAGAAGCCATGTTATTAACGCTTTATTATCTTCACTTTTTGCTCTACTTTTTTCAGTGTTTATGCAGTTTGGCACATAAATTGAACTCTCCGTAAATACTGGCATTGCTTTTCTGTACGTGTCATCAAGTAGCTGAACATGTTGTGAGAGCAGAGATCTGATGAGATTGTTCCTTCTGGATTCCCATTCCCTGCTGGCAGCAGTTCCGTGCCGTGTTCCTCACGCTCCTGTCTGCAGCACCAATGTTCCTTCCTGCCCGATGCAGAGATGTCCACAGGGCAGCAGCAATGCCAAGAGCCCGTGTCCTGCACCTGCGGGGCATCTCCCGCCGAGAAAAACTCAGTCATTTCCTGAACTCTGAGGCAAAACTCCCCCAGAGGATTTTCCACAGGTGATTCACGGAGTGTTATAGATAAAAGATGTCGAAAATTTTAGATAGAATACCAGATTGGTCTCTGGGAAAAGTCAGAGTCTGCTGCAGCGCTGACCCAACAAACTGCTACAAGGTGTCAAATTGCTCTCAAATTCAAACCCACAGCCTTTCAGCGCTGCTCCGCACAGGGCACACACCGCAGCTTTCCCAGCTGTTGTTGCAATTCCTGTAGGATGAAGGCTGCCCCGGCCCCCTCAGGGCTACCCCGGCGCGGTCCGCGCCCTCCTTCGCCTTCCGAGCAAGTCAGGCCCTGCCGCCGCGCCGTCCCTTCCGGCAAGATGGCGGCCCGCGGGGCTGTGCCGGGTGCCCATGGCGGCGGCTCCGGCGCTGCGCGGGCGGGCGCTGCCCGAGCTCCGCGAAATGCTGCGGCGGCAGGAGCGGCTCCTGGCCGACCGGTGAGGGCAGCCGGGGCGCGGGCGCCGAGCAGCGGGCCGGGCTTCCCTTCGGCTTCGCCCGTGCCCTCGCAGGCGGCAGAGGACGAAGCGCTCGCTCCCGTTCAGCGCCGGAGGGGCCGTGAGGGCGCGGGTCCCCCCGGGCTGCAGCGCTGGGGATGCGGGCGGAGCTCAGGCTGTACATGTCCGTGCGAGCACAGGCACGGACACCTGTCCGTGAGGAAAGGCTGAGGGAACCGGGGTTGTTCTGCCTGGAAAAGAGAAGGCTTTGGGATAACCTAATTGTGGCCTTCCAGAACCTGAGGGGAGCTTCCAGGAACCGTGGGGCAAAACAGTTTGCAGGAGTATGTCGTGACGGACAAGGGGGGAACGGATTCAAAGTGAAAGAGAGTAGTTTATGTTAGATACAGAAGGAAGAAATGAAGCCCTGTGAGGGTGGTGAAGCACTGGAGCAGAAACTGTGGCTGCCCCATCCCTGCAATTGTTCAGGGTTGGGTGGGGGTCGGAGCAGCCTGGCCTGGTGGAAGGTGTCTGTGGCAGGGCGTGGAACGAGGTGATTTCTAAGGTCCCTTCCCGCCCAAACCATTTCATGGCTCCTATGTTTCACTGACAGCACGTAGTTAGTGCTGTGCTGCAAGTGCTTTGCAGCTTGCCTTGTTTCAGAAGTTAAGTATGTAAACAGGAAGCTGATAGTGCAATGTGAAACTTGCCCCATTAGCTATTCTAATAAAACTTCTGTATCTCAGGTTGAAATAGGATTGATTATAATAATTTTTGTTTGTTTGTTTGTTTGTTTTAGGAAGTTCATTGCTCGGCTTCCAGATAAGGGTAAGAAGATCTCTGATTTTGCTGAAAAGCTGAAGCTTGCCATTTTGCAAGAGGAAGAAGTAGCCAGGACAGCTGAGCTGTTATCTGCTGTCAGATTGGAATTTCAGGCAAAACAGGACGTGATTAATACAAGCAAACAGGAAGTTGTCCTAACTGAGGACACAGTGAACAGTGCAGATTCCTCAGTCTTTAATGAAAACTCTATTAAGGACGTTTCTGACACTTCCACTGAAAGGCAGGAGGCAGAATGTATTGAAGAAGATGCCACAAATACAGCTTTGGAAAATCAAAGGACTCAGTGGAAAAATAATAAAGTAAAAACTGTTACAAAGGATCAGAATAATTTTTGTGAAGATGTCTCCAAGTCAGCCACAAGCAATCACCTGAACAATGACCAGCAAGTCTCCCAGAGCAATAGTGAGGATGGGACAGAAAGTCCAGCGGCTTTGGACAATTGTAAAGAAGCCTTGGTTGATGCCTTTCAAAGAGTAACAATTGCAGATGAGGAAAACAGTGAAAAAATATTGGGAAAAGAACAGGATGTGGCAAAACATAAGGGCAATGTATTTGGAAGCCAGCATCCCAAAACACCACATTATATTGAAGTTCTAGAGGCCAGAGCCAAGAATCCAGTCATAAAAAAACCGAAATTTAAAACAAACGTGTAAGTATTGTGAGATAGAAAAACCTTTTGTATGTGCATGAAATTGGAAATGGTACAGAACAAGCATGAGGGCTTTATTTTATAGTGATGATTAAAGGGATTTAAAGTCTCATGACACACAAGGGTCATATGTATATATATGTACCTCCGTATCTTTAAATGCCACAGAACCTCAGTACTGAGCAGTGTTTTCATTCTACCCATCTGAAACAATTGTCATGAATCTTCATAGAATTTTATAGCTTAAGGTGCAAAACTACTAAACAATTGGTAAAACTTTTGGATCAGTTCTAGAAAATGTAGAACTTTAATAGCTGGAAGTGTTTTGCTTTTTCTGCACTTTTAGGAAAATTACAGTCTATGTTGTCTGTTCTGACAGTTTGTACCTTGTGTGACTCCCACAGCATTGCTACTTCAGTTAGCTAATAAATCAGCAAACCAGTTTGGTTCATTGTCAGGAGTTACTTTCGATACTGTCTCTCTGTGGAGAAGTAGTTCTGTTTTCCCTGAGTGCTGTTTACTTTTTATTTTTCTGTGTTTTCATAGCACTTCAGATTTATTTTCAACTCTTGCATGTTAAAAGTAAGTTTTGAAACTGGAGTTGTTCAACCTTGTGATGCAAATTTGGGTCACAACATAGGTGTTTTATGTCTTCCAGACTATCAGGAGAGCAGAGTGGATCATCTCATGGTTCCTCATCCAGTCGATCACCCAGGGGATTTGGCTCTCCAGTTCCTCCAGAAGAGAGAAGACTCAGAGATAAGAAACATTTGGATGACATCACAGCAGCTCGACTGCCACCACTTCACCACTCCCCTGCCAAACTCTTATCCATAGAGGAATCCATAGCAATCCAGATACAGCAAAAAGAAGCTTATGAGGTATGAATTTACAATTTGATCTGAAAATTATATAACCAGGATCACTCCCAAAAAAGAAAAGATAAAGGTATCTTTTCATAAAGGTGAATTGAGATGGGCAGACTTTGAGGAAAGGAATTTTGTCTTGTATTTGATTCTGTTAATGACATAATTAAAGAATGTATTAATGCTCTCTGAAAGTGTTAGTCCTACATTAAACAAAATCTGTGTGTGTTAATATGCTGACCTTATTGCACTCACTTAATCTCTGACTAGACATTTAAATGTACACCTTCCCTATTAGTGATTACAGTTTTTGTTCCTTGCATAAATGAAGGCCTAGCAGTATTTGTTATTCTTAAAATAACAAGTATCTACATTTGTTTTTTTTAGTGTTGTGTCTGAAGAATCCAGGTTCTGAGTTTCTTCAAATTCTGTTGTGATGGATTTTGACTTTCCAAGTAGTGTCAGGCAAATGTTTAAATTAGACATTATTGTAGAAGTGTTCTGTTAAAACTGACACTACTGTATCACTGGTGGGGGCTGCCACATGGAGAATTTCAACTCTTATTACAAAGACTCAAATATTAATAGCATAGTTATGTATAAGTGTGAAAAGAAACCTAAAATGTCTTTTCTAGTTGCTAAAATTTTTAATTAAGACCACTTTGGAATGACTTATATTATTATTATGTTTATATTTTTGTATATTATTATTATTACATTATTATTATGTTTATATTTTAGTATATTAGTTTATTCATGAGAATGGCAAATGAATACTTTTTCTAACCCGTGTCCTTTTTTTTCTGACATAGGAAATGCAAGCCAAGCTTGCAGCACAGAAGCTTGCAGAGAGACTGAATATAAAAATGCTCAGGTTTGAACCAGAGGGGGAGGCCTCAATGCAGTACAGAGAAGTGAGAGATGAAGATTATTTTTCAGCAGAAGACTGAATACATGAAAGTGTGTTTGTGGATGAGCTGTGCAACTGATCTTTATGCAGTACTTCCTAAAACCCAAACCTGAATATTGAGAATGCTTCATCTAGTCTGTTTTTTCTTAAAATTTTCACATGACAGCTCCATGAAGGGTTCAGTGTAATCATCATAAATATACATGTCACGATTATTTATCAGTCTTCTTTGGGAACTGCTTTTTGAGCACTTGGGCAGCTAATTCTTGTGGAATGACCCACAGTTCTCAGCTTTAGCAAAGTAATCTCTCTAATACAGTTTTGCAGGCTAGGATGGCTCAGCTGTAAGAGGAGGTTTCTTCTGTGCAGAAATGTGATTGCAAAGCAAAGGGCTTTGGCATGAAACATGTCCATAAAGTAAGCTGAGGTGTCTGTGGACTGCTGACATGCATTAAAGCTCTTGTCTTGTAGAAATGTGAGCTACCTCTTTTACCTATTTAATATTACCTTTCATGGTATGGTGAAAATACCTGCCCAGAGAGTTACAATAAATACCTGATCTTTAGGTGTAAGGTAACTTCTTACCACTTGGGAACTTGTTTCTCTGCCTGCACCTTAAAATAACACTTGCTGCCCATATGTTGTAAATCGCTAAGAATTTAAAGCTACTTTGTAACTCAAATTCTGTTTGGGCTTTAAGGGACTCTGCTGTTTGGTTTTTGGTTGTTATGGCAAAGCACATCAAGAGATCAAGTTCATCTGAAGACTTCACTACTTTTATTAAAGATTTTAATATTTTTCTGTATTTTTGTACACTGCTTTCATACTTTGGATGTACTATTTTTTCATAGTCCCATACTGTAAATTAGGAGATCCACCTTCTTGTTTTCTTGGATGAAGTGTTGTGTATATTTTTAAGTTTTGGCTGTTACTTGAAGACAAAAAACAACCTTCCTTACATGACCATGAATATGAAAATATTAATTTTGAAAGATAAGAAATACACCTGACAAGTATTTCACAACGGTATTTTCACTGTGGACTGGGATTTTCTGAGCCTAGTTCGAGTTCAGTTCTCAAAAACAAGCCTCAGAGATTCCTTGTATAGCCTGGCAACGCCTGTTTTCCAATATGTTGCCACAGCTGTGTGTGCAGGGCTGACCCTGGATGTTCCTGCAGGAATGATGTCTTTTGAAACCATGGCTGCTTCAGCTGCAAGTCATTTAAAAAGCTGCATGGGATGAAAATGTGGGAGCAAGGTCTCAGCCACTTCTTGAGTGCAGGCAGCACTTCCTTGACAGGCAGTAATTCTCTCCCAAGGGCTCCACAAACCCTCCTGGGCAGTCCCTGTGGCACAGTCCATACCCGGGCACTGCAGGGTATGTTTTGTGATGTTTTTTGACTAGGTCATCTCTTGCTCTTTCCTCTTGCAGCCTTCTGGTTCTCATTGTTCATTGGCTTCTCATCAGCTGCTCTTCCCTTTTTCTCATTAGGCTTACCTGCTGTCACTAAACCAAATCCATATTCTGCCTCCCTGCACCACCCATTCCCTTTGCCATGACATGCTGCTGTGTGTGTCTGTGTTTGACTCCTGCCATGTGTCATGCATCCTCCAGCCACTACTATCTTATCTTGCTTTCTGGAACTCCATCTAAAAATACCAGCTGTGCACCTGGCACCACCTACCTGCCTCAATCCCATGAATACCTCACAGAGACCTCAATATCTTTGTGGTTTTGCCATGACTGCTCTCCTGAGGCTTTCCTAATTTCCTGTTTTGTTTTCAGACTCTGCAGGTGTTTTTCTTCTTACCCTTCTACCTTCTTTTCATACTTGGGGGTTTTTCCCTCCTCTCTTGTCTATGCTCCTTCTTCATCCTCCCAGCTTCTCACCATCAATTGCCTTTGTCAGCACAATTCTTTGGCTTGTTTTCAGCC